GATTCCAATGAGCCCAGCAAAAGCCTTTTATGAGGAACCTTTGTGCACCCAAAACTTCTCCTGCAGTCACCTGCTACAGGACCAAATCCCATTCTCGTTTACACCAAAATCAATCCAGAGTCACTCTGCTGACTTCACTGAAGTTACTTCAGATTTACAGTGGTCTAAATGAGAGGAGAAGTGAGCCCAGCTTTGAAGCTGGGACAAGTAATTTATTCATCTGTTTGAAGAGATAGTATTGTGTGAGCAGCACAAGGCTTTCGTCTTTCTTCTTTGTTTCCCCTTGCAGAGCTGGGAGTCTGTTAATACTCATTAAGGTGCGAGACGAAGAGTACTAGTTTATGCTTTCTTCAAACAGTTCTGCCAAGGGACCCAAGTCCTGACCTGCAGCACCAACTGCTATTCCAATCTGAGGCCATGTGCCTCTCTGCCAGTACCTGAATCCCTGCCCTGCAGCATCGTCTGCTAGTCAAGTCTTGGGTCCCACACAGCTCTGCCACTCCATGTGAATCCTGAGCCATGGCACCATGGACCTATCCTGGTCTTGAGCTTCCCTCAAGCAGAAACTGAGGCCAGAGCAGGCAGCGGCTTTGTAATACACACTAGGATGAAAGACTAATAAACTCAATGCCAGTTGTGACTTCAGTGGGGATTGGCATCCATGGGTCTGATTCTGTGTTGTCCTGCACCTTGTGTCGTCATTTACTCCAGTACGAACTGAGTGCAAAATAGGTGCCCAATCAGGGTGGCAGCATTTTACATTCACCGGGCACTGGAGTAAATAACTGCACACAGAGCTGGGCACTAGAGAATCCATGTTTCAAAAGGTGAAAGGCTAATGCACTCACCCCCTCTGGCAGCTGATTGAGTGGGCCCAAAAAGGAGAGAATAGACATTGTCCCATTTTATTTCTGGAGAGAGGTGGAGCTGCTGGCATTGCTGTGTGGAGATCTGATAACTTTCTTTTTTTTTTTTTTACACCCCTAGTTTTTTGCTGATTTTACACTGCTGATGGAAAGATGTGACCTCCATTAATTCATCTTGTAACATGCAGAGGATGTGACACATGTGCCCTTTAAACACCAGCTCGGCAGCTGAGACCCTCTCTCTTTGGGAACATTTCACCAGGGCAGATGGAACAGAGATGGTCAACGCAGCTCACTTCAGTTTTTGTCGACAGCTGACAGGAAGCCCAGTGTCAGGGACATAATTATTGAAAATTTAATGTTAATTGAGATGCACCTAATGACGAATAATTGTATATGGTGGTTTGATACATTCTTTGCAATATTTTGGAGGAGAAGAGATGAGACGAGATCAAAACAAACTACAGCTCGCGAGTGCCCGTAACCGACACCAAAGATCCCACACCTAACAAGCTGCTGTCATATGGGGAGAGCTCGGGTACGAGCCCTAATAGTGTCACAGATTGTCAGCTCTGGTGCTCTGCTGCCTTTCAAAGAAATGCCACTTGGGAGTGCTATCCTTCAAGAGCACTGAATACATGGCAGCACCTGGTGCTGCTGTTTGGAAAGCAGATGGTTTATCAAGTTCCCAAGGGCACTGGAACATCAGTCTGTTAGATGTTCTATCATCTAGAGCCACAACAAAAGATTTGTTTCTATTCCTAGAGAAGCCAGACCCAGGACCTTCCCCAATACTTAGAGGAAAGCCCCAGTGGCATTTCCTACTGGCTACTTTAGATGGCACATGATCTACTCTCTTTCTTTCCATACCCACCTCATTCTTGCAATCTCTTGTTCAGTCTTTCCTCGTACTGTAAAAACACCACGCCACTGAGCAGCAGCAAAATCACAAAGGCCCTTCTTGATTTATCTATGCCCTCTTCTTTAGAGCCCAATTTCCGGCTTGGAAAGGCACAGGCCAGTATTCCCATTGTCTCTCCTGCATGGTGGGAGGGACACAGGGCTGTTCTCACTGCTCGGGAGGGAGGGGAGGCTAGGCAAGCATTCCCACTGTCTTTGCTGCACCACTGGGGAGATCTTCAGAAGAGTGGGAGGCCGGGTGAAATTTGCTGCCAGTGGTCAGAAAAGGCCACAGCTTAGTCCAGCTGCTTCCTATGGACCCTTCCCATTCGGCCCCATGCCTTGACCAATCAGCCGAGGGTCATACCATACTGTGTATACAGCCAATGGAGCTCAGTAAAGGAAGCCATCACCAGCTGCTCCTGAATTTGTTCAGGCTGCTCCTGGCAAAGGCTACCCCAACCCACTGTAAGGCAGATAGGAACAGTTTCCTTCCTGGTGGGTTACTTCTACATTGGTCTCAGCAGCTGAGGAATCCTCTGCTTGTGTCTGCAGGCTGCTGGGGTTGAAGACTCCATTGCCAGAGGGTCACCACGCAGGCACTAGAGGAATGATTTAGAAATGTAATTCTATAATAGGAAACTGAGGACCAGATCCTTAGTTGGTGTAAGTTAATAGTGTAGCTTCATTGACTTCTGTGGAGCTATGCTACTTGACACCAGCTAAGGATCTGGCCCTGAGTATTGATCACTCAGTAGTGACTAGTCAGTACTGCGATCGGGGTTTGGCTAGTGTGGTGGGCTGTTCACCCCACACCAGCCCTGCAGGGGCTAAGGTGGGGCAGATCACGCAAATTAACGTTACAGGTGGAGAGTCTGCTTGATTAAAAATGACTAATGGCTGATCTAGCCCAGCTGGGGGAGATGCTGCCCAAGATATCGAGCCAGGAAGTTTGCAGCAGAAAGGGCTGCAGTGTGGAAGACGGCAGTCATGCTCCAGGCTTAGAGAGAAGAAAAGCAGCAACCCCAGGAGAAGGAGGAGCCATGGAATCCTGGCCCTGAAGGATGGGCTTAACTAGAAGGGGGAAGAAGAAAGCCTGCGAGCAGCAGAGTAGGAGGTCCAGGGAAAGAGCAGCAAGGCCTAATTTGATGGATCTCCAACAAGAAACTGCAGAACTGGAATTAATTTGCAACTGGACACCATCAAATTAGGTCTGAATAAAGACTGGGAGTGGATGGGTCACTATAAAATCTAATTTCCCCCGCTGATACTCACACCTTCTTCTCAACTGTTTGAAATGGGCCACCTTGGTATTCACTCCTTCTTGTCAACTGTTGAGAATAGCCCACTTCCACCTTAACTGAATTGGCTCATTAGCACTGACCCCCCCACACTTGGTAAGGCAACTCCCATCTTTTCATGTGCTGTGTATTTATACGTCTCTACTGCATTTTCCACTCCATACATCTGATGAAGTATATTTTAGCCCACAAAAGCTTATGCCCAAATAAATGTGTTAGTCTCTAAGATGTCACAAGGACTCCTCATTGTTTTTATCCAAGGAGTGTTACTGAATTACGAATTTAAACAGTTTGCAAATTAGGGATATTTTTTAATCTGGTAATTCACTTTCTAGTGAGCGATTTCCCCTGGGGGAATGGACGTAGCTATGGAGACGGCTATGCACTACAGAACGAGCCCCCAGATCAATTGCCACTCATGCTGAGTAACAATTAAAGAGCGTTTCCATGTGATGGCTGTGACAGGAGAAGGGGGGTGGCTCACAATACTCCCCCTGCTGGTGTGGATCAGCCTGATTGATGGCAGCTTCACAGAGGAAGCAAGGACAGAATGGGCCAAAGAAACTGAACAGATCTGGGCTGAGGAATATTAGCAGGGGAGCTCTACACCGCAGCACAGCTTGCTCTCTGGATGGAGGACTTGGATCTCTGCTGCTCTCAATCTGACATGAACACTACAAATTCACTCAAAAAAACCCCCCAAAACCCTTGTAGAATCTATTAAATTCCCTGATTCCTGTTAATCTGAGTCAGATGCAGGGCCATTTTTTATTAAGATGCTATTTCGTGGTGTATGGTCTTTGTAACAACAGGGACGCCTCACCCTACCCAAAGCAAATTGTGAGCAAACCGGAGATCAGCACTTTTCTCCCCTCCAGGAAAATTGACTTTAATAATTTGGACAACTTGAAAGGCTCCTGCCACTGGGGAGGTAAATATTCATGACAGATAATTTTTAAAAGTCTTTGAGAAGTCGGCTCACACAGCAGTTGCTGCATTTTTCAAAAGGCTTTTTTTTTTTTTTGCTGCATTTCTTCAGCTCTTCATATTTAACAGGGGGGATTTGAGGCTTTTCATATTGAATTGTTTAATGCAAATAATAATTATTAATAATTAAATGAAATGCAGCAGAGGAATGGTAGGTGAAGTGACCTGTAGCTTTTGCAGCACTTGTATGGGGAGATACAAGGCTGACAAAAAAACTACCTGCTTACAAGAGACAGGGTTGGCAGTCCCAGATGCTTGCTGTGGAATATCCCAGCACTGGGAAGGAGGATGCATGATGGGAAAACTGCATCCTGGTTAAATGAGTGGGTTTAACTTCCTAACTGATGGGGAGTGGGAAGTTGATGGAGAGTTGAACAGGGGACATTACTGGAGAGATTTTCAGAGAGCTCAGTTTCCATTCAGGAACCTACGTGCCAGATTTTCAAGTGCTTAGAGCCCAGCAACTGAAGTTGTTCCATCAACTTATTTAGAGGTCTACTGGGAATTGAGCTCTTGGAAAATCTGGCCCCATAGATAGGACTAAGCTTTGGTGGGTGAAACTCAAGAGGTGTGCAGGTTTGTTCCAGGTAAGTTACTACAGAGTCCAAGCTATCCATACCTACTGGGTCTGATTCTGATCTCAGTTAAACTAGTGTAACTCCATTGAGTGGGGTTTTCAAAAGAGCCTAAGCAACTCAGGAGCATAAATCCCATTGAAAGCCGAGAGCTACTTGCCTCCTGTCCTGAGACACTGGGATTTCTGGCTTGCATGTGCAAACAATTTCAGAGAAGTGACTAGCCACTAATGCTGGGACAGTCACAGAGGGACACGTGGGCTGCTAACAACTGCTCGTTCTTGACTCCTGCAAATCCAGCCCTCCATTCTCTCTGTCTCAGCAACAGATGAGCTTATCTCAGTGTTTCAATGAATTCTGCCAGGAATTACCTTGGTCCTCATGATAGTTTTGATAGCGGCTTCAAACTCCTCTGAGTTATTGTAGTCCACCGTCCACACATGAGGTTTCCCTATGAAATCCTCCACATAGGGGTGTTGGGAGGACACCTGAGAAAGGAAACAAAAAATGAACTGTGTGGTATTCCCTGCAGAAGGCACTGTGGCCACACGCAGTGACCTCCCTGCAGCTAGGCAATGTGAAAGGTGAGCTGATGGTGGCAGGAACAGTGATGAGAGCTACTAAACCCATTGCATGCAGAGATGGATCCAAAGTGGAACCTTTAATCCAAACCCACCTGCTCTCAGCCTTTAGGCTGATATTTTAAAACAGCCTAATGGTTTTGAATGCCTAAGTCCCAATAAAATTAAATTTGCCCCTCAGCGACTGGGCAAATCTCAACCTCAGAGATTCAGATGAAATCCATCCCAGATCGGAACCTCCCCCATCAGTGAGGTTTGAAAAACTAAGACCTGACTACAAGGTTTTGTAGAAGCACAATGCTCATTACAAAGATGAGACAAATGTCAAATCTGTGATCAAACGTGAAGTTTGGTGTTGGGCTAAACTGGAACTAGAATCCGAACCACCCTCGAATTTGCAAAACTAAAGCTGAGCATTCCTGTTTGCAGTGAGGACTCTTCCCCTGGGGATTGCTTCCTATTGGCAGTCACTTTTCCATCCTGTAGAGCAATCTTCTTTCCCATCCTCTCCATGCATTTCTCCTTTATTTAAGCTTTGGGCATCTGTTGATTCAGCCTCATTGACATTGCTGCAAGGCAGCCAAAAAGCACAGGTCATGTCTCAGGAAGTAGGGCAAAGGGTGGAAGTTGAAGCTATACTTTTAAGGGTGCACAGGTCAGAGGAAAGAGTCCTGGTGCAGAGAAGAGACATTTTCTAAACAGAAAGGAGGATGAAAACTGGCAATGGTTACAAAGGGGCTTTGAAAGCAAGGAAGATGTGAAAAAGAGCATTTTATATAATGAGCATTATGCTTTGCCAGACATGATCATGCTCCCGCAGCCCTTTGCCGGGGAGAGGAGACAAAGTATCCATTAGAGGTGGGAGAACTTGCACAGAGATTGATTTTTATTGTTTTGCCAAATGGCTTTAGGTGAAATTCTCCCCTCTGCAGAGGTGCCAGTGAAGTCCCATGGAGCTCATAGGCTTAAGGAGTGTCTAGTCCTTGGGCTGGACTTCTTCCCGGGGGGCAGAGTTCACCATTTGTGGGGGTTTTTGCATCCTGGACATTTCGAGTTTCCATGTTTCAGCTGCTTTCTGGAGGGAGGCTGGTTTTCTAATCCACTCATGGCGCTGCTTACACAGCTGTGCTGTGAGTTGGAGCCCAGCTACTAATGCAAAGAACCCGCAGTGGAGGCTTCTTCACAGCAGGCTACAGACTCTGCCCCTTGCCAGCTGCAGGTTGCGATGCAAAGTGAACCTCTGGGTCACAGCATTCCCCAAAGATGCAGAGCCAAAGTAAACCTGGCAATTATTGAGAAGAAGACAGCATCAGCTGCACCAAAGGGCAGGACCATCCATTGAGCAAACCAACGGCCCCAATCCCGGGTAATCCCCATTCTCCTAACATATCGACCAATCAGCTGGGCTAAAACACAAAACCAAACCCAATATCCCATCTACCCTAAAGACCTTCAACTTTCCCATGATCTAAGCCCTGCCCAGAAGGCTCAGATACGTATAAATAAAGAGATGATGGCAATTAATTATCCCTCTCTTCTGCTTCTTTGCTGTCATCAGCACACTTCTCCCTGGTGACAGCAGCTAAGGATGGCAGGCTCGGCTGTTATAATGACACAAATTAAAAGCAGCAGGGCTGGCTGCACTGAAAGAATGATTCCAACACCTTCCATCTCACACACAAACACACCCACACATCATGCACACTCTCCGTAGCGGTTGCTCTGTTCACAGTTTTGCCAAGTCGCTGAGTGCGAACCGGGGCCCTCGCAACACAACCTGCATTATGCTAACATCAGCAAAACACAAAGAGGACACGGGAGGAGAATTAATTCTACAGGAGCTAATTACGGTGGCCCTGCTCTGCCTCTGCCTCTTGCCAAGACGAATGGCAAGCGAGCGTGCAGCCACCACACTGTAATGATGACAAACGGGCTGGCTGCCAAGGCAACGGAAGCACCCAACTGCCTGGAGAAGGGTGGCTACAGAAGATGCAATCCAGTCTGAGAGCCAGCGGAAAGGAGGCTATCAAGGGTGGGGCAGGATAGAGGACACCTTAGGGTAGATTCTAACTCACTTGGTAAGGAACGGCCTCAGACGGAAACAGAAGCTGAGAAAGAGGTCCTTGATGTGGCCAGTGGAGGGGCTTTCTCAGCGGGGATGTGGGAATTTACACGGCATTATCCACTTTATTAATAATACAAGGCTCAATTTTCTCAACCCTTTAACTTTTAAAGAGCTCCTGCTGCACTCAGATTAAATTCATAGCCAGCGGCAGGCCCAGGAGGGGAGTTTGCACAAAAAAAAAAATATATATATATATATATATATTCAGTCCGGTTTTAGAAAGCCACAACCAGGAGCAATTCAAGTTCAGATCCCAACTTATCCTGGGAGCCTACAACCCCAGGTTTGGGAAAGGGAGGGTCAGGCTGAAGTCTGTCTCTGGGGTAACCAATTAGGACATGGTGTGGGATTTTTGCAAAAGCCTCATTGATCAGGTTTTGTTTTGCAGAGCTGAAATTCAAACCCAGGTCTCATTTTGTCCATCTTCTCCAGGTCTCGAGAGGGGAGAGATCAGATTGGGAGGGCAAGGGTCTGATCCTACCCCCAGCTAACCACACCTTTGAACTGCGGGGAAGAGCATCCAGAGCCTGATCTTTTCAGCTGGTCCACCCCTTTGGTTTGAATCCAGAGCAAATGCCATGGCTAAGGCCAACCTGCAAATTCTCAGCACACAACATTGCAGAACCACTTGCCTCTCTTGACGTAGGCTTCCCCCTGAAGAATTCGTGATTGAGGGAGCTGTGCGGCGGGTTGAAACGAGACTGCAGGAAAACACACCCATTGGCTATCGCTTCCAAAGGGGCAGGACCTTCATAGGGGAATCCAAATCCGATGAACAGCTGCAGGAAGCAAAACCACAAACCCTGGTGAGCTTGAGTGAAGAACACCATCGCCCAGACCCGTTGCATTCTAATTCATTAGCAGTTCTGCCTCTCGAGTTCACTCATCTGAACTCTCTCTGGTGCTCAGCTCAGCAGAAACACAGGCTGATCTAACTGAACTCTAAGTGAAATTCTTTGTAGTTCAATTCACAGTAGCTTAAATGTGTTATAAAGTTCTCCCCAGAATGATGTCTTTATCAAAGCTAAACTGTACACAGTACATCTTTACCCCTTCATTTATAACAGAGGCCTTGTCATTAATATCAATGGAAGTTGCACCTCTTTACATCATGCATGTATTCGTCCTACTGTTTCCACATTGAAAGCTGCTGGCTTGCTAGATATCAAATCAGAATCATGCCTAAAACAGTACCAGACCTAGGTGGAACAGCAGCTACATGCCCTAGCTTCTCCTGTCTACAGACCTGGTTTTCTTTCCTGGTAACAGGATGAAATGAGTTTGGGTATTTAGTGTGCCAGTGGGCATTTGCACATCACATAATTCAGGCACAGTTGGCAGTCCTTACCCAGGAAAAGCCAAGGGCTGGAATATAATAGGGGGCTTGCATGCCACTGGGTTGGCAGTGCTGGGGGTGGTCTGGGAAGTATGCACTTTGCCTGACTCTAGACAGTGCTATGGCGCTGGGCTCAGGTTCCGATATCAGTAAGGAGCATTTCAGGACCTAGTTATGCTGTTAGTCAATCAATCCACAGACCCCACGCTGGACAGAGCTGAGCAAATAGTGACCAAAAAGTGTTCTATGAACATTCAGTGGAACCCAAGAGCAAACTTTGGTGTGACAATGGGTGTGATGTAATGCACATCTCTTAAACTCTAGTAGAGCAACTGCTTGCAAAAAACAAATTTGAACCCCAAAGTATGAATATTTCCCAAGAGACAATTCCAAATAGTATATTCAATTGTAAAATTTAAAATCCAACATTTGCACCATCTTTGGACAGTCACGTGGTATTGTTTCTCTCTTCTGATTGGATGTAATTAATCAACAGAAGGCAAACTACCAATCCAACAATCAATCAATCTTACCATTCGAAATTGGGGCTGTGTAAGCTGGTTTCTCAAGTCATTTACCTGAGTTCTAGCTATGTAAATCACTTGAGTTAGATGTCTCAGTAAAAGTTGTGTATTCGATTGTAATATTCACCGTTCAAATAACCTGCAGACTAAGAGTTATTTGCTGAAGAAATTAGTGAATGATTTTGAATAACAAATACACTTGAGAATGTTGTGAACTGACCACTGACAATTCGTAAAAAGGGGAAATTAATCAGACAAATTCGCTGTTGCGATTTGCTCAGCTCGGCTCCTGGATAATTACTGCAGTTGATGTGGCCTGCAAGCAAGGGCTTCAGTGGCACTAGCCTCAGCGTCCTCCAGCGAAAAGAGCTTCAGCTAATGAATTCCCCCTCAGATTACATTTCTCAAGGCAACTCTGGTCCGCCTGATCAGCAGCTGGTTATTTTATGGAAGAGTAATGTTGGACTTTGTCAGAAATCCACATGAAAGGGCCACACCCCTATTTTGAGTACCTTGGCTTTTCTCAGAAGCTGCTGGAACTCATGCTGTGGCAGAAGGCCATGGTTCTTGACAAAGGCTGGGACCTCAGGAGGACGCTGGGTTTCATAATAAACAGTGCCGTGGATCTCCATGTACTTGTTAAGGATGGCCAGGAACTTTTCTTTGCCCTGGGGGAGGAAAGCGAAGAAAATCAGCTGCATGTGAACCCCAAAAGAGATGTATTTGATACTCAAATGCCAAAATAAAGGGGCATTTCCTTAGTCGGATCTCACCATCCTAGCGCCTTTAAGGGTACGTCTCCACTTCAGTGTTTAAGCCCAGGGTTCAAACTCAGGCTCAAGCCTAACTCTCTTTTTGTATTCACACAAATCATGACCCAAGGTCCCAGGATCCACAGGGCTGGAGGGTCCGAGCCTGAGTCAAGCCAGAACCCAGGGTTCCAGCTCTATTGCTTTGCAGTGCAGACACAACCCTGATGCATTTGTGCTCTGGAAGTCTGCCAAAAATATCCCACAATCCCATGGGCTGACTTTCTTTGTCCTCCAGACAATCAAGTTTGGTGGACAATCAAGTTTTCCTACACTGACCCATGAACAAAGGGCTAGAGTGGCAACATTTTGGGAGGGCGTTAGGAAGTCTGGAATATGGCTGGTCGGACTTGGGTCTGCGTACTGCAGTGTGGATGCTGGAGCCCTGAGCTTGGGCCCAGGTTAGAAGATTCTTAACCTAGGGATGACCCTCAGTGTCGACGCTCAAGCCCTGGGTTCTCTAACCCAGGGTCTGCTGACTCGAGTTCCGCTTACCCTGGATTTACACTGCAGTGTAGACATACACTAAACGACCTCCTCTCTAGCAGCAAGGGAGTCTTTATGTACCGGAACACACTGTTAGTCTGTATCGGCAAAAACAACGCGGAGTCCTTGTGGCACCTTAGAGACTAGCAAATTTATTTGGGCATAAGCTTTTGTGGGCTAAAACCACTTCATCAGATGCATGGAGTGAAAAAAAACAGTACATGGGCTATAATATATATTCTGCTTACTGTTTTTTTTCACTCCATGCATCTGATGAAATGGTTTTAGCCCACGAAAGCTTATGCCCAAATAAATTTGCTAGTCTCTAAGGTGCCACAAGGATTCCTCATTGTTTTTACTGTTATTCAGTGGAACTCAATCTGCAGGGCAGGAAATCCCCCTACAGGGAAGGCAGACTTTTAGGACTCCTAGACTATAAACCAATTTCACACTCGTATAATCCCACTGAATGATGTGGAGCTGCTCCTCTTTGACATGGGTATGACTAAGAGCAAAATCAGTTCCCTGAATCAGAGGCGACATACCTGGGTATTGGATATAGTCAGCCCTACAAAGAGAGTCTGCGTAAGGAATGTCATACACGAACAGACCAATGGTCTGTCCAGGCCAATACCCTGGCCCTGACATTAAACAGTGGAAGTCACAAAGCCTCTATAATGCAACCTCAGGTTACAATACTGTATCAGTGGCAAGTAGTGGAGAGAGTGTATGTTCCTGACCTCATCCAATGATCAGTTTATACACTGAAGCATGGAGATTGAGATCCCTTATAATTTGTATCCCACCTTGTGCAAAGGCAAGTGCAATTATTCATATAAACATCTAATCCTTTGCAAAAAATCCTAAATTATTTGCCTTAATAAACTACCACAACAGTGAGTTCCACAGGTTAAATGTGTTTATTTAAAAAAAAAAAAGTATAGTTGCGTCTGTATACAGACAATTCATCTTTCTTCCCAAGACCCTCTCCTTGTCCCCTGTAGAATGGCAAACAGACATAAATCGATTGGATGGATAGTCATGTAGAAATAAAGGTGTTATCCATGTGAAATGCGTCACTGATCAGAAAGCTCAACTAGTTCTTTCTCCTTCGCTGAAGTTATTTCAGCAAGACAAAGCAGACAGGCACTTTCTGTTACTGTTGTGCCCTATGACCCAAGCAACCAGCCACTCCAGCTGCAGAATGGCATCAGTTTTCCATCTACATACATTCATGGCAAAAATGCAAAACTTTAGCATGGTTTTTTTTTTAGAAGACTGGGGGGATGGTATGAGGCTGATTAATCCTAGAGCTCTTTTGATGTTACCCTTTAAGGATTGCATATAGCTGTTAAGGACTTCATTATCGCTTTATCAAACTAATAGCCCTGCAGATCAATACAGCACCATACAAGAATTCCAAGCATGGATTTCACTGAGATTATCTTCCCTGCTAGCAACAACAAAAGAGAAACAGCTTTCCCTTTGAATTTAGCTGTGATCAGCACTACACTCATCTCTCTCTCCTCTACTTATTTCCCTCTCCAGGCTCTTTACAAGCCCTGGGAGGAAAAACAACTTCTCAGCAGCATTAAAAGAAGACAATAAGCCACAATCTACCTGATTGGAGGGCAGAGGCGAAGGCGGCTGTGAAGGGCTGACAAATGTGGAAAGCAGGCCACACAATGCTGCTGTTCCAATCCACAGAACCGCAGACACGCTCTGCTGATTAACCCACCTGACCTGGGGGCTCGGGGATTTAATGGAAAAGAGGCCATTTATTCACCCACACTGTCAGAAGCAGCCTCATGGCTGTCAGTTGTATTCAGCTGAAAAGGCAGCTACGTGGGGCACGGGAATGTGTTCTTTCCCCGGCCACAGTCTAATCCCACAGACATAGACTTTTACTGAGAGAGGAGCCTGAGCCTCTGAGTTTGGATGCCAAATCTCCCAAGAGGGGTTGGCTAGGGGCTTGGGCCCAGGCCCATCTCCCTTTCTATCCATCTGGCACTCATCTGTGTCTCTGCTTTACACCACACTTTGCCTTATCTCTCTCCCTCCCAGGCCCCCATTGTTGCCAGCTGGCACACTGGTTGGGACCCTCCTTGGTGGGGCTTGGACTCCAGACTGAACCTGTGGCTGGAGAAAGGCCAAATCCTTTCTTCCCTTATTGTGCTCTCCCTGCTGTCCTTGATGCAGGTTTCCCACCACCCCCAATCTCCTCCACGATGCTGCTGCAGAATGGCCAGCAAGTGGTGCTGTTAAGTAACACAGAGCCCAGCTCACCACCCCACTGACTCCCACCCCTGTCTGAGAGCGGACAGCAACCTCCCCTCCAAAGCTCCAACCCTCTGGTAACTCAGGGAATGACAGAGGATGTGTGGGATTCAGTCTCTCCTCCTTCTGTCCCTATTGGTCCTGAGGCAGCTTCCCTTTCTCTCTGCGTATCTCTCTCTCTCTCTGGCTATGGACTTCTCTCCAGGGCCGGATTAACCTTTTGTGGGCCTAGTGCCAAACATATTTGTGGGCCCCCATGGAGGCAATGGAGCATGGCAACAGGGAGGTCAGTCTCCAGAGTGAGGGGCCAACCGGGGGCAATGGGGCAGGGCAGGGGCCTCCCCACTCCACCCAGCCCAGTGCAAGGGCACTATTTACAAACGGCAGTTTCCAGATGCACAGTGCCTCACCCAGTCCTGTGCTGCCAGCATGCCCCTTGCCCTCGGGGGCGGGCCCATGCCATGCCACACAGCCCTGCTACCCAACACCCAATAGGAGCACCCACAGGAAAAAAATGTGTGCTGAGCACCCACCGGCAGCCCCGCCTATCAGCTCCTCCCACTCACCCCCAGGGCTGCCTGTGCGCCGCTGATCAGCTGTGCAGGGGCAGGAAGAGGTGGAGCGAGGGTGGGGGGGTGCTTGGGGGAGGGTGTGGAATGGGGCAGGAGGAGGTGGGACGGAGGTGGAGTGGGGGCGGGAAGAGGTGGGGCCTTGGGGGAAAGGATGGAGTGGGGCCAGGGCCTGGTGCAGAACAGGGGTCAAGCACCCCTGGGGAAATCTGGAAGTTGGCACCTCTGCAACACCCACGCAACTCCCTATGGCCAGAGCCCCCCCAGACCCATTATGCCCAGTGCCCCCGCAGACTCCCCCCACAAATGCACAGCACCCTGCACAATACAACCCCTGCCCAGCACCCCGCTGCCCACAGCCCCACCACAACTGCCCAGCACCCCACACAGAACCCCCACTCCCTAGTGCCCCAACACACAGAGATCTTTCCTGCCCCCTCACAGCCCAGCACCCCCTCGGCCCCCCAGAGACCCAGTCCCCCACGCCCTGCCTCCCGACCACACTCACCGGCCCTGCTGGGAGGTGACTATATCTGCCGAGCTGAGCCGTTAGCATAGATAGGGCTGGTCCTGGGGTGGGGAATCGCTCCAGCCCCTTGGGAGTGACGCGATCAGTCAGGCCAGGGACTGCCCCGGCCGGGTTCCCTCAGGACCCACTTGCCTAGAGGGGCCCAGCCAAGCTCCCCACACAGTCCCCCACAATTGGCTGAGACTGGCCAGGCTTCTGCAACAGTCTCAGGAAGTTCAGCTCCAGGGAGACAGGTGGGGCCCCACAGGCGGTGGGAAGCAGAGACTGCCCGGAGCCGGAGGTGCACTGGGGTCTGGCCAGGGGGCAGAGAGGAGGCAGCGGGTGGGGCCACGGGGCAGAGAGGAGCCCTCAGCCAGCCAGCAGGTTGGCTGAGAGGAGCAAGTGATGGGCGGGGGGAGTGAGCTGGCAGGGTCTCGGGGCTCAGTCCAAGCGGAGCAGTCCGGGGCCCCTTCTGAGCATGGGCCCAGCTCCCTGGCACCACTGGCATCATTGTAAACCCATTCTCCAACTCTCCGTCCTAGATACTTCCCCCATCTTTCATTCAGTAGATTCCCCCATTCTTCATCCTCCGTTCTGGCCCCACTAGCCCTGTGTGTGGCATGAAGGATGCATGCAGCTCAGCAGCCATTGTCCTTTAGTTCCAATTCCAAAGATATTGAGGCAAAACTCTCTGATATGAAGTCAGGGCATGTTATTCCCCAGGTAAGCCAGTGGGGCCCAAAGGGAACCCTCCACATTCTATGGACTTCTGCCTCTCTCCTTGGGAGCAGGTCTCAGTGTTGCAGACAGATGGGAAAACGCTGGCTCTCTATCCACGCATTGCAGAACTCTTCCCATGCTGTAAGGGCTAAACTGCATTCCCAGCTCAATACGCTACCTGCTCTCTGCTGGCAAGTTTATCATTCTCACAAAGCACAGATCAATTGTACGTCAGGTATTTAGAATCCTCATGCAATGTGAACGATCCTTGCAATGTGAACAATGAGCAACACAAAACGGCATATTTACTAACATTGGAATAGCTGGGGCTGAGGTGTGATAAACAACAGAAGCCTAATAAGGAAGGAGCTGTATGTGTGAGTGCTATGTTTTATAAAGGACACTGTCTTTTTGTATGTAGCCAAATGGGACAGCACGATTCAGTTGACAGGCTGACTGAATGAGGAGCAAGTTTCTAATCCCAGCTCTGGTGACCTTGGGCAAGTCAGTTCCTCTCAGAGTGACTCAGTTTTCCCATGTGTAAACGGGGGATAATATTCACCCTCCTTTGTAAAGCACCTTGAGATTAATAGAAAAGGTTATCTAAGGATTAGTAGCTGTAGTGTTCATGAAAGGGAGAGTCTGATAGCATTTGCAAAAGCCAGCTGTAGTGTAGACAGCTGTTGGGCATGTTCTCCCTACAATAGTTCCTGGACTCTAACACCCCATGCTGTCCTGGCTGGGGTCTCTAGGAGCAGAGTGCTAATCACACAAGGTGCTCTGCTGAGACCATCAAACTTGTTTTGACCTAATCAGAACTGGAACGCACATGGCCTGAAGTAAAGGACTAATGTACTATACCGTTGCACCAGAAAGCCTCTTCCATTGTGTTATTGTTTACAGAGCACCAACAATGCACTCAGCTCTCTATAATACATAAAATAATGGGCCAGATGCACATTGACACCAGCTGAGGATCTAGCCCAACATCCATCCCTGCCCCATAGAGCTTATACTTGAACAGAGAGAAGCCAGGATGCCCTGGAGAATCCAGGGACAGCTAGTACTTAGCAACTATGAGCCAATTCCTTCTTGCCTTTGTGAGCCCACTTCAGCAAAGCATTCAAGCATGTAGCTAAGCCCCTTGCCATTCAGCAAACGACTTGAGCATGTTCTTAGCATTAGGCACGAATGTAAGTGCTCTGTTGAGAAGGAAGGGACAGCTGAACCGGGGCCACTAGCTGTCTCACTGTCTGCAATACTCCTATGACTAAAGTAAACAGGATTTGGTCCTACTTGACAGGAGAGAGCCCACTCCATGTCTGGCTAGCACAAGAATGTTCTGAAGATTTTTGGTTATTAAAAAAATCTCTTAGTGTATTTTTAAAGCTTCTACAAAATACCTCTTGAGATTTACTACATTGTACAGCCCCTCCTGTGCACTTTTACATTAAACGTCAGAGCAGAGTTTAAAAACAAAGACACATGGGGAGTGGGGTTATTCCAGAATTTGGGAATCAGAGGCATCTGAGAAAAGCAATTTTCACATTGAAATCTAGTGATAACAGAGGGCAGGTCTACACTACTACTTACGTCGATCTAACTTACATCGCTCAGAGGTGTGAAAAAGACCGACCCCCCCCGAAGTGATGCAAGTTACAGTGACCCAAGCGCTGTTTACACTGGCGCTAGGTTGGCGGGAGATGCTCTCCTGCCAACATAGCTCCTGCCTCTCGCGGAGGTGGAGTAATCATGCCAACAGGAGAGCGCTCTCCCAGTGGCATACAGTGTCTTCAGCAGACGAGCTACAGCAGCGTAACTGGCTGCTGTGCCAGTGTAACGCTTCTAGTGTACACTTGCCCTGAGTCTCAAAATGTTTTGAGTTCAGGTTTGGATGAAATAAGCATGCAGATGCTTATCTGCAGCTTAATCCAAATGATCTGAACTGCTTTGGCTGACAAAACTGAGAGGGAAATTGGATGTATATGGGCTGTTTTCCTTATTAGTGCTTCTGCTCCTGGTGCTAGATGGAAGCTGGAAGTTCAGAGGAACAAGAATGAGGAAGGGCGGGAAGTTAATCAAATGTTTCTGAACTTCAAAAAGATTCTATTTGAGAGATTGTATTTGATCCTGGGCTTATCAGCAGTACTTGGCTTGTCTGCTACAACTCAAGAGCAATATGTTGCTCTTATATTGCATTGTTCATCTCTAGGCCTCAGGGGCACTTTACAAGGGAGGGCCTCATTAGCCTTGTGTTATAGATGGGGGAACGAGGCACACAAAGGGGGCCTGGCTTGTCCAAGGTCACACAGAATGTTTAATGTCAAATCCAGGTATCCTGAGTCCCACACATCTCCAGCTCCTTGGACCACACGAACTCTATCCTATCTACCCAGTGCTAGATTGTACAACACTTACCCAGGCTGGTAAATATGACAGGCAGCTGTCACCTTGGCCAACACACTGGGAATTGAACCAGGGGCCTCTTGAACTGCTGCTAAAGCGCCAGAGTTAGCAGCTTGTAACAACTCCTATCTTCTGTGGATCAGCACAGAGGGGGACTTGTCACACATAACCACTGGGTTACCTGAGCACTTGCTAATAGGAGGTTTCAGAGTAACAGCCGTGTTAGTCTGTATTAGCAAAAAGAAAAGGCGTACTTGTGGCACCTTAGAGACTAACCAATTTATTTGAGCATAAGCTTTTGAGCTACAGCTCACTTCATCGGATGCATTCAGTGGAAAATACAGTGTATCGAAAGCTTACGCTCAAATAAATTTGTTAGTCTCTAAGGTGCCACAAGTCCTCCTTTTCTATTCACACTAAGGCCTCTCTTCATGCTCTGGTCACATAAAATGAGCACACTTTACCTACACACCCATATTAAACTCCTTTACGCTGCCAGAGCCTTAGTGTAAATGAGAATCGGTCCCATTGACTTAAACCCACCACACAGGCCCTACTGGTCTGATTCTCCATTGACGCACAATATGTTGTCACTTAGAGCGGTGGGTGTAAAAGCTTACCAAACCACAACAGGAGCCCTTTACACCCATTTTGCATAGGTGTCAGGAACTACACAAGGTGCAGGACAGTGAAAATTCAGGAGGCAGGTATTTCTACCACGAGATATCGCAGCTACCCAATCCTGACTGGTAACTAGGGGTGGTGGACAAAGCAACTGGTCCTGATCCTCTTCACAGACTGGGGGTTCTGGAATTCAGAGTTTAGATCCAGGCCCCTACTTCCTGGGAAGCAGGTGCTATTCCATGGACCTTTTACGGCAGCTGGTTCCCGACAGCGAAAGAGTTTTAATAACATTTATTTAAAAATCCGTAAGAAGCAAGGAGGAGAGAGACAATGAGAAATCAATGTAGCCCACAGAGCGAGGCAAGTGTTGGAATCACTCATTGCGAGGGAGGGTGTTAGTAGCCATGAATATTTCTGTGCCAAAAAAAAAAGAAATTAAGTCAAAAAGCTGTTATTTACAAAGGGGGAAAAGGGAGCGGGGGGTGGGGTGGTAGCCTAGCCATCAGCAAAAGGTCTTCTTACTGTAAGACTGTGTGACAGAAAGCGTGTGCTGGGTAACTTATAAATACATGTAATTGTTGCAGGGATTTCTATACCTGGGCTGCAATTGTGTGTTTTGAAAGGAGGGTTTGTTGCAGAGATATGCTGCTCTATGGAACACAGACTGCAGCATTCAGAGCAGGCTGCGAGAACAGATTCAGAGGGACTGGTAATAGAAAGGGTGGGAATGGGGAAGAAGAGAACCCAGCACAGTATCAGGCCATAAACACCCACTGTTAGCAATCCACATTTAACCTACAGACGATGAAAGCTCAATCACAGACATACAGTTTCTATTGATAATTTACATTTAGTCTGAAATGCACCGTTAAATAAAGGAATAGATTAGCGCAATACAGTACCTGCAACTGGAACATCCCAGGGAGGTGCATGGAAGAAAAAAATCAAGAGAGGGTGATAATTAGCTCCTGCTTATGGATAATGGAAGCAAAAGCATTGAGCATGCTCCAGATAAAAGAAGGTGGAGCTCAGGCCGCCCCCAATAACCAGTGACACTGCTAGCCACACAAGAGAGGGTAGTGCTGTTTTTTTTTAAGAGGGTGTGCCTAATGAGTGGGGTTATAGCGGTGCTATTTGTCTCCCTAGCAGTGAAGTGGTGTTGGAACAGGAAGTCAGTTGTCTGTCTCAGGGAAGGAGTAGTGGAAAAGAGTTTTGCACCTACAGGCCACAGACTCAAATCTGACCCATGTCTGTGGTGACTAAAAGTTGCTTCCAGCTGATGACAAGAGGCAGTATGGTTGAGTGGCTAGTGCCCTGGACTTGTACTTAGGAAACCTTAATTCTATTCCTGCCTGAGCCCGACCTGTTACGTGACCTTGCACAAGTAACTTCCCCTCTCTCTTTTCTCCTCCGTCTGTCTTGTCCATTTAGATTGCAAGCTCTTTGGGGCTGGGACTGGCTCTGACTCTGTGCCCTGCCTGGGGCCTCTGCATGTGACTACAATACAAATACTGACAAGAAAGATATGCCACCACTAGATGCTGTCAGCTCAGCTCCTAAACAGCGAGTGTCCAGACCTTAACTGGTCCGGTGGTTGGAAGCTGAGTTGCTTCGTAAAATGCCTGGGATGCCCATTCTGTTTCGATTTGGCTCACTCACTTCCATAGTGTTATACTGGATCAGACCAGTGGGTCCATCTAGTGCCTAAAAAGTGTCAGCTGTCTCAAAAGAAGGTGCAAGAAACCCCTCAGTGTAGGTGGCCAGGGGATAAGCTGCCCACACAGGAAGTTTCAGACATAGGGTGCTCTCCCAAGGGAAGTGGTGGAAGCTCCATTGCTGGGACACTTGAAAATGGACTGGACAAATCACTAGGGAATATAATCCAGGAAATAATCCTACATGAGCCAGTGGGAGGGATTAATTAAATGGCCAATTAGGTCTTTTCACTGATTTCTAGGAGTCTATGCACATTAGCCCAGATTCTGATCCCTTTGAAGCCAGTGGCAAAACTTCCATTGACTCCAGGGATTATCCTTTGGCTATTTGTTTGTTACAGTGGACTGATCGTGTCAGTACAGGCACCCACCTTCCAGATGCTGGCTTCCTTCCCATACACCACTGCCATGTTGCTTGCTTTGTTAGACTTAATGAACTGCCGCTCAGTCTCGTTGAGCTCCTCGGACACAAAGCCCATGAAGGAGTTGTCGGGAGTGTGAGCTACAGAAACCAAGGGGAAAAGATACACGGGTTTGGCTCTTGCCAGTGCACTGAAGGGGTCTTCCATTATCTGTCCTCCCAAAGCCTCAGCAACATGCAGCCTTTCCCCATTGAGGTCATTTATACTGAAGAATGGGATGGTTACCAGAGTCCACCAATGAGATGAAAACATTTCCGGGTCCTACCCACGTAGCTGGGAGTTTAACTATTGAGTTGAGCCCTGGTGTCACAGGGGCCCTGGGGATCACTGGGCTGAAATTTATACTGTTTCTCCATGACTGTCACAGGTAAATCCTAGGCTAGATCCAGGATTCCCCTTTGCCTCCTTTACCTTCCTATCTGGTAACAGTCCAGCTGCATCTGTGTCCCCAATCCCCACTTCCCAGCTGAGCACCTTAACTGTGCACTAAGCCCTCAGTGCTTCCCTCTCTGTGGAGAGACAGGGAGCGGGGCTGGAGGAGCTGCCTTCAGATGTGCTCCACAGGAGAATGTGGGTCAGGACTGATTAGTGCAAGGAAGTATTTGGAGGTGTTTGGAACCAGTCGAAGGTGCAGGCCATGAGGCTTGGATTATTCTGTGGCACTCATGCATTCTGAATCAAGAAAAGAGAGTCAGAAAGGTTCCTTGCATTGAAAAAAAGAAGAAAGGGGGAAAAAAGCAAATAGGAGCTATTAAAGTATATGAGCTGTGAACCGCCTGCAGGTCTCTTTAAAATATAAGTTGCTTCTTAGGCTGCCAGATAGATTATATCCAGCCAGGGGAAAAAATATTTGAGTCACAAAGTGTGTGATCGGTCACTAGGCTTACGGCCGACAAGTAAGACTCCTTTCCACTTGGCAGATTATTGGATAAATCTGAAGCACCAGCCTCAGGCCCTTCTCTAAAATCCCACCTGGCCTTCTCCAGAGAGGTGACTCTCCCTCTGAAAATAAATTCTGTGTTTGAAAAATATGCCCCTTGCGTTTCACCTCCCTGCCCAACTCTCTTTGCTCCTTGTCTCCAAAGGCCTTTTTTTTCACTCTCTTCGCCTACTTGGATCAAGGCTGAGCTCTCCTGCATGCAAGGGGCACAACTGGGCAGCTGATTTCAAATCTTCCTTTCCCCTGGAATAACCCTGGTAAATCCCACCTGTGGCATGATGGGCCTTGCTGGCATGGTGGGCTCAGTATGGGGCTGAGCATGGGGCCTGTTTGCACCTCCCTTCAAGAGTGAGGTCTGAAGCCCACCTAGTATGAGGGCAGGATGTTCTTGTGGTTAAAGCCCTAGCCTAGGGCTCTAGAGATTTGGGTTCCACTCCTGGCTCTGCTGCTGGTTCCTGGGGTGAGTTGCTTCGCTGGACACACAATAGCAGAGTTCAAGGTAGACATCCTGCAGTAAAAAAACTTAAGGACCAGACTTCAAAGAGAAACTGCTGAGCTTCAGTTCATTTGTAAATTTGACACTGTCAGCTCAGGATTAAACAAAGACTGTGACTGGCTCGCCAACTGCAAAAGCAGTTTCTCCTCCCTTGGTGTTCACACCTCAACTGCTAGAAGAGGGCCTCATGCTCCCTGACTGAACTAACCTAGTTATCCCTTGCCTGATTCTTGCTTGCATATTTATACCTGCCTCTGGAAATTTCCTCTACATGCATCCGACGAAGTGGGTATTCACCCACAAAAGCTTATGCTCCAATATGTCTGTTAGTCTATAAGTCTATATAGTCTGCCGCAGGACTCTTTGCCGCTTTTACAGATCCAGACTAACACGGCTACCCCTCTGATACTTCATATCTCGGTGCCTCAGTTCCCCCTCTGTAAAATGGGGATAATAATCCTCCCTTTCTTTAATAAAAGTGTGAGGCCTTCGGGGTAAGAATTGTCCACACTATGTGTGTGTACAGTGCCTAGCACAACAGGGTCCTGATCTCAGTAGAAGCCTCCAGGTGTGCAGCCTAGTGGACTGAACACTGGACTGGGATTCAGGAGATGTTAGTTCTAGTCCCAATTCTGCTGCTGGGTGACCTTGGGCAACTCCTTTCTTATGACTCAGTTTCCTCATTTATTAAATGGGGGATAATGCCACTGACCTCCTTTGTCAAACACTTTTAAGATCTATAGATGAAAAGCACTGGAAAAGAGCTAGGTACGAATTACTGGGCAGAGAAAGGAGTCCATGTCCCTGCCGCTGGGCTGATACAACTCCCCTTTCACATTAGCATGGGTCAATCAAACATGGCTCAGGTACAGAAGCTGCTTCAGCCTGCTGCTCTGTTTGCCATAATAGCAAATTCCTTCTTTCCAGCATTCTCTCCCCTTGCTTTTGTTTTCTAGCCATAAAATCCCCCGCTGCTGCAGGACGAATGATTGGTTTGCTCAGAAAGCTCCCTGCAGAATCCCCAGGACTGAAAAATGGCCATGGCCGAGCAAAGTCCTTCACTCCCAAAAACCTACGGGGGGAGGGGAATTGCTGGGGCAGATTGAGAACATAATAAGCAAAACAGTGGGAGTGGGACAGTAAAGTATTAAAGCTCATTAAAGTAACAGAGCCCATTAAGCAGGCGTTTCCTTGGAGCACATTGTCAAGGTTAGGGTCAGATGGAAGCAGCATGCATCCCATCCAGCACGCTTGGGAAAACAGCTTTGGGCTATGGAGCAACATGGTAATAAGCCTAGCATCTCTTTTGTGTCCCAGGCTTGGTATAGTGGGAAGGGGGTGTTATTTTCTAGCTACATTCCACGTTAGGAGTCCTGTATATCTCCTGTAGGGCTCAGAGGTCTCTCAAACATCTCCCCCTACTTTAATCCTACCAGCCTCAAGGGCACTTGATATTGCAGCCTCCTTAGCTTTAGATGAGAAGGACTAGATGGGACTCCCTTAAGATCTTATCAATGTACAGCTCAGCTGGCCAGAGGGCACGTTGGTGGGCCATGTGAGATGCTCATCTCCCCTGCTTGCACAACATTTCCCAGCCCCTGCTGGCACAGGGGGTGGGAGGAAGCCATAGGCCAGGGGACTGAGATGCAAACCCCGGTATTGACTGCTCCTGAATAGCTGCTTACAAATGGAAACGGAAGGCCCATCCCAGCAGGTATATGGTGCTCATTGTGTGTGAAAATGAACTCTTTTCAAGTGAACTGGACACATGTCAGCCTCCAGCTTGTGGAAACAGGTAGAAGGAACAGGAGCAAATCTGAGTTTGTGGGCTTAGAGCAAATCAAGGTCTGTTTTCCTTCCACTGCGGTAGCTTTGGGGCGGCAGTGACATGGGCAGTGGACTGGCAGAGTAATTCAGATACATCTGAGAACTTATTTGTACCTTTCATGCATTGGCCTTGGCCTGCAATGGTAACCTAGGGATCAAGAAATAGAGCCAGGACCAAAAAAAAAAAAATAGGCAACTAGTAAAATTACCAAAGAATACAGTTTTGGTGGCACCGGAAAACTGTGCAAATTCGGGTTGCAGTTGTCTAATACTTTTGGCCCAAAACCCCCCTGAAAACAAAAATTCTGAAAATGTCAAAATGTTTCATTTTGAAAATGTTTGGAATTGAAATTCAAGGCATTTAATCCGACTGGCACACATTTTTTTCGTTGTTTTCGTTTTGGTGAAAAACAATCAGCTTCGATTTGAAACAAAGCACACTTTCCCCGGTTTGACCTCTGAACCACCAAATCGATTATTTGCTCAGCTCTACCACCCAGTCTGCAAATACAAAACCAATAAAATAAAACCCCAGTAGAAACAATTACCAAACAAGGGATCACTTACGAAACATAGTCATGAACTGCTTGGGATTCAGGTTCCAGTACCCCCAGTTTGTCCGGTAGCCATGCAGAGTGGCATACTCCTCAAGGTTGTAGGCTGGCTCTGTCCCAAAGGTATCAATGACACGAACGCGACACCTGCCCAGGCAAGAAAGCAAAGGGCAAGGGTTATATTCTGCTCCCATTCTGCAAATAAAGAGCATCAAGCCACAAGCTATAGGTTCGCCCTCTAGCATCAGCAGGCCAAGGAGAGAGTTAGTGCTGCTGAGGGCTTCAGCAGATGCTCATTTAGTGGAATGACTGCTTTGAGAGAGATCTGGGAGTCCTAGAATCCAGCCTGTGCAGGGACAGTCCCTCACATCAGTGCCCAATTACTGGTTTGAGCATCCTTGCAGCAAGTAGCATTATGTGCTCAAATGCATGCCCCATGGGATGATAGAGAGGCCAAGCCAGTGCTGCCCTGGAGTAGTGCTGTGTGTTTGAATACCAAGGACCAAAGGCTTTGCTGAAATGGAAAGAGTATGTACTGCCTTACCGCCTAAAAGCTGGAGGCCTGGGAAAAGATGACAACACTGCCAATGCTGACAGCTGAGACAGATGTAGGGACTGTTACTGCAAGTGCCAGTGGATTAATTACAATGGCTACAGCTGGGCGTGATGCAGATGATCACCGAATAAGTTTTGCCTAAGCAGCTTCACCAATACAGGCCAATGATGATCAGCAACCTCTGCTACTCCAGTCCTGGTCCCATACACTTCTGCCAATAGACTTTGATTGGCAATACCCCCCTATGCTCTGTTGTGGCATTTAGCAATACCCCTGAGCTAGGGACAGGCACCAGGAGGCATTGCACCTCACCTGGCAGGCAGCAGAAGCACCCCTGGAACTGCACCCCTTCAGAGCGTGCAGCTTATTCTCTCTAGTGCTCCGTCACCTTTTGGGAAGTCACAGTAGCCAGTGACTACTTGAAAATATCTGGATGGCAGGATCACTGATAGGCCAATGAGAATGTGGCCTGATGATGTAATGTTTCCATCTTGAATGAGTGCCTTTGCTGTCTGAGTATATTGCCATGTGGACAGAGTGCTGTGAAAAACAACAAATGGGCATTATCCCTCTTACTCAAGGAGTTGGATTAGGCTTATTCACTAAAGCAGCTGTTTGTTCTTCAAATTTACTCCAGAGATAGCCTGTGGAACTCATTGCCACCAGATAGTAATGCGGCAAAGAGATTAAGAACATTTTTTAAAAAGATTCAGTATTTATATGAATAATAAGAATATTTGACAAAAATGTATAATGAGTAGAAACATGCTTCAGGACATAAACTAACCATTAATAGCCTGAGGCAGGAAGAAATGTCACCATAGGGATATTATTGAACAACTGTCTACCCAGAGGGTTTTACACCTCCTGCAGTATCTGGTGTTGGCCATTGTCAGAGACTGGATACCAGACTAGATGACTCTGGGTCTGGTCCGCTATTGTATTTCCTAGGTGTATAACTCAGTAACTATTGCTCTAAACACAACATGCTTAGGAACCTCTGCCATTAGGTATTGTCTGCAAAGGATAGCAGATTAGATTGATGCTCAGTCTGTCCTGGCCTGGCAGTTCCTTTGTCTCAGCAAATCTGGGTTTCGAACCCAGGTCTTGCCATTAACAACGCGTAACGTTACCGTTAGGCCACAGAGAACTGGCATTGGGCATCAGCCTTAGGTCAAAAGGGGAAACTGGAAGCAAAGCACTGGTCCAATATTCAGCAGAAGGGGGTGGGGGAAGTATCCTAAATGTCACCTCTGGAAAGGAAGAGATTCACTGCTCCCTGTTGCGCAGGCTTTTCACCCACCCAATGTTTGGGAAAACGTTATCTATCTCCAGGAGACATTGTAATGCTTTTCTGAATATTCCGGGAATGCGGAGGTAGGCATTACCCTGGCAAGAGGGAGGAAGAAAAGAGATTGTGGAAAGAGAGAGGAGAAAAAGCAAGTGGCGTGCACAAAGCAAATGCATTTATAATGAAAACAATAACACCGCCTGTCATCTTCCCCTCTAATAAAATTGTGTAGGATAGTGGAAGGAATGGGTGAAAATGTAATAAATAGCAGAACTATCAGTGTTAAATTAAATCACATACTTTGCAGGCTGCTGATGTACCACGGGGATGGTGACATTTGTCTCTCTCAATGGCAAAGAGGAAGGGAGGAAACAGGCTGGGGGCAGGGGGGTTATTCTTGCAAATACAAAGAGATCTCTCGGTCCTGTTGTGATGGTGGCAGATTCCACCTGCAGCGTGCAAATATACTATTTACACACACACACTCCTCCCCAAGGGTGTTTGCTTCCCCATTGCAGAGCCTTAAAATGAGTTCTGATCTCAAGACGGTAGCAGGTGAGGTTGAGCTCCCTCCTTCCCAGGCATATTCTGACAGCCGCTGGGAAGGTCTCTGGGCAATTTACCAGCTGTCAGAGCCATGCACATAAACAAGGCTGGAAACAAAAGGCTAAACTCCTCCTCCTTATGTGCTGGAGATTTATGAGGGGCTCGTTGGTAGGGGAAGGGAAGGGCTGCAAGGTCAGGGGAGTTTTGGCTGGTCTTGCTGCGATAAACAACAGACAGAGCAAAGAGGGAGGGAGGGAGAGAGAGAGAGAGAAGGGAGCTAAGTGAGACAATTGCTCAGTGCTGCGAACATTCCCCATCTGGGAACTTGGGTTCAAATCCCGGATGGGGTCAGATTTATCTTAAAAGGTGTTTCATCCTAGTCTGTGTCTATGCCCTGTGTAAAACTACCACCAATTTAGGCACAGGACAGCCTCATTAGGTTGAAGGACCGGAAGAGATTAGGACTAGAATAGCATGGGGTGCTGCAAATCAGGACTGGCACTGGCAGAGTTGGACTGGACTGGAGCAGCATGGGACGGGGAGGGCTGGAGCAGTGCAGGGTGAGGTGCATTGGCAAAACTGTGTGATGAAGTTTGCAAAATCCCAGGCCACAGCATGCCTCCCTCTAGCCAGAACTATTTGCCCTGGTGTCACTCGCTATTTAAAAGTAGAAGCAAAGAGGAAGAGAGTGATTTTTTTCTTACCTGTATTTCTTAAAGGAGAGCCCCATGTGTTGCTTCATTTGCTGGAGGCCATGGTAATCAGTGTAAATGAGGTCAAAGGGCAAAGGGACAGTCAAGGGACAATTGCCCCGTCCCGGAGGCACCCCTAAATTACTGAAGAGAATCAGGAAGGGTTGATCAGCCACACAATATAAGCCCTTTCACCAGCCCTAGCCCCATTTCCCTGCCATGGGATTTAAAGGCGCCATCAACTGGCTCCTTCCTGGAAGTCTTGAACTCCGCTTTAAAAATATGTTGTCACTGGGGCCTCGCCTGGCTTCTCCCCCATGATTCCTACAAGTCCATCTCCCCAGGTTGTTGCATGGGCAGAGCTGCCTCTTAGGATGTCTTCTGGGAAGCAGAAGCCTTGGATTTGCATTTACTGTGCGACAATGACACTGTTTCAGATGTCCAGAGAAGTAGGGCAGGGAGTCTGGTAAGCATTGGGGGTGTGGGTAGGGGAATAAGTTAGTGCCTGCTTATACATCCTACAAATCTCGTTCCTGGGGCAGGGAAAGGGAAAGCAAAGAGAAGTCTGATGTGTGTTACTGAAATCATCACAGGGGGCGAAACTGCCCCCTCTCCAGAGGCCTAAGCCCAATTTCAGTCCCACTTTAACTCTAGTTTGGGGGCTTAAGAAGGCCTTACATTGGTGCAATATGACCCTGCCATTCAGTAACTAGAGCTGGTCCGTCTGGTGCAAAATTGAGATGGGAGGGGGGATGAAAAATTCATCCCAAATTGGGACAAAAAGCCAACATTCTGAATCTTTTCTTGAAATGAAATTCCCATTTTTTTTGTTTGTTTCTTTTGGGTCAATCAAAACATTTTGTTTAAATTTTGTACCTTTTTAATTTTTAAAAACTATAGAATCACATAAAGGAAAAGTCGTTTCAAACTGAAAAATCAAAACTTTTTGTTCCAAAAATGACAAATTAGGACATTTCACTCTTAAAAAAAACAACCATTTTTTTTCTAAACAAAATTTCATCTAAATCAGTAATGATTTTTTAAAAATATTCTGTTTTGTCAAACCAGCATATTCTGACGGAGAACTCATGACAAAAATTTTCTGACCAGTTCTGAACAGCCATACGGGAGGGTGACCTTTGTAGGCCAACATGGAGGGGCGCTGGACTATAGGCCATCTCTTCTCCCTCCTCTCCTCTTCTTTTGGTATGGCTTGTAAGCTGGGGGCACTGGTGCCTCTGCTACCCCAGGGTTTGTGCCTGGCCCCTGTAGGGAGAAGGATCTTGGTGCAAGAATCCCAAACATGATCTGGCTTGCTTATATAAACCAATCAAAGAAGTAAGTTGGTCAGGTGTCATCCTGGAGCATTGGCTCTGACTGTGCAACACTTAGGCCGTGTCTACCATATCCATGCTAGTGTAGTGCCATAGTGTAAACAGCGAAGGAAGGGTTTTTTCGATTGCTATAGCTAATCCACCTCCCCAGATGGTGGTATCTGGGTCAACGGAAACATTCTTCCATTGACCTAGCCATGTCTACACCAGAGGTTAGGTTGGCATAGTTATGCTGTTCACAGGTGTGAATTTGTCACACCCCTGAGCACTGTAGCTATGTCAAGCTAACTTTTAAGTGTAGACCTGAAATTAGAATGAATTAATGCAGGACCACTCCAAAGCCAGCAAAAACAAGGATTTTCAATTTAAGGTGACTTAGCTGCACATAAATGCTTGCAACGGCTTTATTGCTCTTGTCACAAAGAATATAAGCGTTAGCTCGCTGTAGAACAGAAAGGGTCATCTGCGGATAGAATAGGCTCTAGTTTTATCACTTGTAATTTAGGTTCACTTCTATGGGCAATTTTCCACTAAGTGGCTGATCGGGGAGATGACAGGAATAGAAAGACTCTCATCTCTGAGAGCCATCCCAAAAAGATACATAAATAAAGCAAGAAGGAGAGGCTCAGACACCAAATTTGGAGCATTATATTGGCCTGCAAGAGCTTTTCCAACACTCTGGTACATACCTGCCAATCTAGCATCACAGTCTATAATTATAGGCGCCGACTCCGTGGGTGCTCCGGGGCTGGAGCACCCATGGGGAAAAATTAGTGGGTGCTCTGCACCCACCGGCAGCCAAGCTCCCCGCCCCGCCCGGCCTCACCTCCTCCTCTGCCTCCTCCCCTGAGCGCGCCATGTCTCTGCTCCTCCCTCCCTCCCAGCGTTTGTCACCACCAAACAGCTGTAGCAAGCACTAGGAGGCAGTGGGGAAGAGCAGGAACGTGGTGCACTCAGGGAGGAGGTGGGGAAGAGGCGGAGCCGGGGCGGGGATTTGGGGAAGGAGTCCAATAGGGGAAGGGAGGGGGCAGACTCAGGGCAGGGACTTTAGGGAAGGGGTTGGAATGGGGGCGGGGCTGGGGGCAGGGTGGGTCGAGCACCCACCGGTGCCAGAAGAAGTTGGCGCCTATAGTACATAGGCTCAAAATTAAACTGGTGAGGGAGAGCCAACCCCCAAATCCTGCTACTCCATTCAAAGGCACTAAGATAAATGAAAAGCTTGGGGCTAATCTATAAGGGATGTCAGATGTTTCAGATATGTGTGCACACTTGATCTCTCCACTTATCTAACCTGTGTGATGGGAACTTAAATGATTGTTCAGATTAGTTACATTCCAATAACACTGAAAAGGAGGCATTGTCTGCTGGGTAACAGACTGCTCTCACTTATGTTGTTCGGAGACTACCCCCTGGACTAGGGCTTAAGAGACCTGGGTTCTAATCTTAGCTCTGCCACTGACCTGATGGATGATTTGGGGTAAGTCACTTCACCTCTCTCTGTCTTGTCTAATTAAACTGTATGCAATTTGCTGCAGGGACTGTCTCCCATGTGCCTGGTACAATGGGGCCCTTCCCTCCACTGCAATGCTAGAAACTTGCCCCAGCCAACATCCCGCTGGAGATAAGGGAACTACTTATGGAATAAAACACTGTTTAACACCAGGGCAGTACAATCTGGCCCTACCACAGGAGACTGAAAGTTAGGACTCCTGGCTTCCATTCTCAACTCTGTCACTGGCTTCTTCAGTCTTTTAACCTCTTGTGTCTCCATTACCCCTAACTTAAAAAAGGGTATAATATGAACTATTGCTCTGAAGGGTGTGGTGAGGAGTAATTAAAGTCCATAAAGTTCTTTGAGATCCTTGGATGAAAAGTGTTCTCTAGAGCTGAGCTGAATTTAAAGGAAGATCCTCAGATGAACAGCACAGTAAATGCTAAGTATGATTATTAGAATGAGCATTACTGCTATAGAAGTGCAAAGAATTATTATATTGCAACTGCTCTACATCTCTATCATTCTACATTAAAAAACCGATTGGCCTGTGACAAATGGAAATAATCAGAGCTATCATGGAGGAAAGACATAAAGGTTATCGGTATCAAAGAGCAGCCAGATAACATTTAATCTCCCTGTTTCCAGAATTGCAGCTATAATTCAGCACTGGCTTCAACAGACAGCTCCATGACCTACAATATACGGGCGCTGCATCCACTGAGGATGACATAAAGCACAATTGATAATTAAGTGTAAATAACACAAAATCATGCAGCTCTCTGGTAACAGAGAAAGAGTCACATTTCTAAATCAATATTTGAAAAGAAAAATACACGTTACGGGGCATATTGTGCTACACTTAGTCAAACAGGTGAGCACATCCTGGCAGACGCTGTCGCACTGAAGTCACCACTTGGTCCCCCACATGAGTAAGGGTTGCAACTCTAGCTCTATACCAATTTTTAGCTGTCATGTTGTCCAGTGGTTGCTCTTCTAAAAGACAGTACCTTCCTCTTTTGGGGCTTGGTTCTGCCCTGACCTTTATCTTATGCACTGACTTTGGTGGAGATATTTCTGATTGACATTGGTGTGCGTGAAGGCAAAATCAGGCCCTTTTCTCTCATCTATGGTGAAACGCACCCTTGTGCAGAGAGCCAAGACAAACGCTATGCACCACTTAAGTCCTGAAAATAGATTCATAGGTCTTTACAACTAGAAGAGATTATTAGATCATCTAGCCTGGCTTCCAGGGCTTGAGTGGGATTTAACTGCTGTTTAGTCCTCATTAAAGTTGATCAAAAAATCAACCCCCACCCCACAAAATGCAAACCCCAACCCCTTCCTCCCCCTCCCAAAACCCAACCATCATTTAGTTTCTAACTGAAACTGAATTTGTTCATATTTTTGTTGACGAAAAGAACCGCCCAACCCCCAGCCCCAAAGACTTTGTTTGGGTTAAACATTCAAACCCATTCGAAATGCCACTTCCATTAGAAGCGTCCATTTGAAACAGATCATTTTGACGTTTCTCCACATGCTGTTTTGACATTTGCAAACTGTTGATTTCATTGGGGGGGGGGGTGAGTGCAGCTGAAACTATTTGCCAAATTCAGCTTGAGCTCATGAATTGTTTTGGTGCCCCCCCCCTAAAATGGATTTTAATTAACTGTTTGTCTAAAAATAACTGCCCAGCTCTAGTCCTCACAGTGGCCCTCTGCTCAGGAGTGAATTTTTAAGCACATCGATCTGGTAAAAAGGTGGGATATTTTCCTCAGTGCAGCTGATTTCCCGTTGGACATGACACCACAATAAAGCTCTCATCACAATACACATGAGATTGGGTGAAGGAAGATCAGGCACTAACCAGCCTCCACGACTGCTTGACAAGTACGACATCCTCTGCACAAGGCTCTGTTCTTAAATACTGTCCTCAAGACGATGTCCAGACACCATGGCTCCAAATGCTGCTGAATCATTAGCTGCCTCCTTGATAAGCACGTCTTTGCATGACACACAGTGGGCCAGATCCTCAGCTAGCGTAAATCAGCATAGCTCCACTGACTTCAATGGAGCTATGCTGATTTACATCAGCTGAGGGTCTGGTCCAGTTATTCTGCTTAAGATAAAAGCTTTTCATTAGACGTCTGTGCCCATTTGTTTCTCACTGGAGCGGATATCCCCAAAGTTTAGGAGATAGCTCAGTTCATAAATCCATGGACTTTAAAGCCAGAAGGGACCATTAGATCATCTCATCTGACCTCCTGTATTTCACAGGACATTAAATTCCACCCAATTACCCTGGCATTGAGCCCAAT